AAACCAAAACAAAACTGGAGGTACACAATTCCAGACTTCAGGTTATATTACAAAGCTGTAGTAATTAAAGCAGTATGGTAGTGGCACAAAAACAGAACAGAAAGCCCAGAAAAAAACCCACAATTATATGGTCAATTAATCTCTGACAAAGCAGGAGACAATATGCAATAGGAAAAAGCCTCTTCAACAAAGGGTGCTGGGAAAGCCGGACAGCTACGTGCAAAAGAATGAAACTGGACCACTTTCTTACACCATACCAAAAATAAACTCAAAATGGATGTAACACCCAAAACTGTAAGTCCTAGAGGAGAGCACAGGCAGTAACTTCTCTGACATTGGCAGTAGCAACATTTTTTTAAAATATGTCTTCCAAGGTAAGGGAAATAGAAACAAAATAAACTACTGGGATTACATCAAAGTAAAAAGCTTCTGCACAGCAAAGGAAATAGTCAACAAAACTAAAAGGCAACATACTGAATGGGAGAAATGCAAATGACATGTTCAATACAGGGTTAGTATCCAAAATATGTATGCAACTTAGACACTTGAACACTCCAAAAAAACAAATAATCCAATGAAGAAATAGGCAGAAGACATGACAGACATTTCTCCAAAGGAAGATACACAGATGGCCAAAAGGCACATGAAAAGATGCCTAATCAACATCAGTTATCATGAGGGAAATGCAAATCAAAATTACAATGAGATAACACCTCATGGCTAAACTCAACAAGAAACAACAAATGTTGGTGAGCATGTGGAGAAAAAAGGAACGTTCCTGCACTGTTGGTAGGAATGCAGACTGGTATAGCCACTGTGGGAAACAGTATGGAGGGTCCTCAAAAAATGAAAAATAGAACTACCCTATGAACCAGTAATCGCACTACTGAGTATTTAACCCCCAAAATGCAAAAATACTTATTCAAAGGGATACATGTGCGCTTATGTTTATCGCAGTATGATTTACAATAGCCAAATTATGGAAGCAGCCCAAGTGTCCATCAATTGATGAATGGATAAAGAAGATATGGTGATATATAAAGATATATATATACAATGGAATATTATTTGGCCATAAAAAAGAATGAAATCTTGCCATTTACAGCAACATGGAGGTAGAGCATAATGCTAAGTGAAATATGTCAGTCAGAGAAAGACAAATACCATATGATTCCACTCATATGTGGAATTTAAGAAACAAAACAAACAAGCAAAGATTAAAAACAAAAAAGAGAGAGAGACCAAGCAACAGACTCTTAACTATGGAGAACAAACTAATGGTTACAAGAGGGGAGACGGGTGAAATAGGTGTACATTTATGATGAGCACTGAGTACTGTATAGAATTGGTCAATCACTATATTGTACATCTGATACTACCATAACATTGTTTGTTTATAGGAATAAAGATTAAAAACTTCATAAAAAAGATAAATTACTTACAGTGCTTTGTTTTCAAGTTTAATATTCACTGAGTATGTGGAAAGTTGATTTTATATTTGAGAAGAACCTGAAAAATTAATTTCTTATACCTTTAAAAAAAGTCAGTAGCTTCATTAGCCCTTTCAGAGTAGCTCAGAGGTTCTGGGGAATTAATTAAATGACAGTTTTGTTGTTTTTTTTTTTAGTGGATTTAGTAGTCTGTCATGATCCTGAATAAAGTAAGCTAAAATAACGCACACAAAAATTTAAGGGTAAGTAAAATCTAAGGGTTGAATGCTTTTAATTCTAAAGTCTAATTAATTGGAAATGATAGTAAAATTTTTAAAAGCTTTCAATGCTTCATGACTCTTTAAGCATTGAAATTTTATGCAAAAGGTTCTAATTTTATTAGGAAAGAAATCCTAATTTTTCTCTGCTGTTAAATATTTATCTGAGAAAGGAAACCTAAATCTGAAAAATTAAAAAAAGATATAAGAAATCAGATTCTTAAATTCAGTGAATTAATTCACAAATTATTCCTGAAAAAAAAAAGTGGGTAGAGGAACTGAATAAGCATTTTTCCAAAGAGGACATACAGATGGCCACAGGACATATGAAGATGCTCAACATCACTAATTCTCAGGGAAATGCAAATCAAAACCACAGCGAGAGATCACCTCACACTAGTCAGAATGGCTATCAAAACAAGAAATACAAGTGTTGATAAGGATGTAGAAAGAGAACCCTTGTGAATTACTAGTGAGAATGTAAACTGACGCAATCACTGTGAAAAACAGTATAGAGATTCCTCAAAAAATTAAAAATAGAAATACCATGATCCAGTAATTCCATTACTGGGTATTTACCAGAGAAAATGAAAACACTAATTTTTTAAAAGATATATGCACTCCTAGGTTTATTGTAGCCTTATTTACAATAGCCAAGATATGGAAGGAAACCAAGTGTCCATGGAGAGATGAATGTATAGGGAAGTGGTATATATACAATGGAGTATTACTCAATTATAAAAAAGAATGAGATCTGGCCATTTGTTACAACATGGATGGACCTAGAGGGTATTATGTTAAGTGAAATACATCGGACAGAGAAAGACAAACACTATATAATTTCATTTACATGTATTATCTAAAAAACAAAACAAATGAAAAAAAAAAAGCAGAAACAGAAGAACTAGTGGTTGCCAGAGGGGTGGAAGTGGGGGGATGGGTGAAATAGGTAAAGAGAATTAAGAGGTATAAACTTCCAGTTATAAAATAAATAAATCCTGGAGATAAAAAGGACAGCATAGGGAATATAGTCAATAACATTCATTGTAAAAACATTGTATAGTGACAGTGACTACATATATCATGGGGGAGCACTAAGTAATGTACAAAATTGTCAAATCACTACTTTGTACACTTCAAGCTAATACAATATTGTATATCAATTATATTTCAATAATAAATGCTAAAAAAGAGTATTTCTGCAAATTGTAAACCACATTTTTAACAGTATATCACTTGGGAAAGGAGGAATAAAAAAGACAAATCTTAATTCCTAAGTAAAAATAAAGTATCTGTCAACTCCAAAGTGGGGGAGGGAGATCTAACTGATATATATAAATACATCTTTTATATATATATATATATAAAATTATAGGAAGGAAACAAATTTTTTAAAAAATTTTTATTGTTATGTTAACCACCATACATCATTAGTTTTAGATGTAGTGTTCCATAATTCATTGTTTGTGCATAACACCCAGTGCTCCATGCAGAACGTGCCCTCTTTAATACCCATCACCAGGCTAACCCATCCTCCCACCCCCCTCCCCTGTAGAACCCTCAGTTTGTTTTTCAGAGTCCATCGTCTCTCATGGTTCGTCTCCCCCTCCGATTCTCCCCCTTCATTGGAAGGAAACATTTTTTTTTAAAGATTTTATTTATTTATTTGAGAGAGAGAGAGAATGAGAGACAGAGAGCATGAGAGGGAGGAGGGTCAGAGGGAGAAGCAGACTCCCCGCCAAGCAGGGAGCCCGATGCGGGACTCGATCCCGGGACTCCAGGATCATGACCTGAGCCGAAGGCAGTCGCTTAACCAACTGAGCCACCCAGGCGCCCCCGGAAGGAAACAAATTCTTAAACACAGTGAATTAATTCATGAATTATTATGAGTTCTATGAATTATTCCACAGTTAAGCTCATTTAGCTTATTCTATGCTTTATATAAAATTATTGCTTTTTCTCCATAGCACCACAGTGACATGTGTTACAATTAAAATTTTCAGATTGTTACTCTCCAAAAGCACTCTACAATTTTAATTCCCACTGATCCATTTCCCCATGTCTACATCAACACTGGATATTGCTAGTGGTTTTGAGTTTATAATTGGCATTAAAAACTGAAATGGCATTAAATTATTTATCCTTAAAAATTTGCACTTCAGTCAAGTAACTTTACATATATTTATTGCCTATTTATATTTTTCTATGAGCTATTTTTGGCCTTTGACCATTTTTCTTTAAAATTACTGAAATTTTTTTATTGATTCTTAAAAATTACTCAACCCAATTCACTCTTCAGTGGCAAAGGAGAATAATTCTACCTACTTCTCAAGATTGTTATAGGAATTACGTAAAATAATACATGAGAAATCCACAGCTCTGTGCATCTCTCATCCTAAGTTCTTAGTAAACGGCATTATTTGACCTTAAGGATTTGTGTATCCAAATAAAAGCATATTAATGAAGTTGTTCCCAGCCATGTTTATGTCCCTTCCAGCTTTCTAAGTTCGTGAAAGTTAACCAGAACATATACGTGACTACACTAAAATGTTTTTATCTTTTTTTTTTAAGATTTTATTTATTTTTTGACAGAGAGGACAGCAAGAGAGGGAACACAAGCAGGGGGAGTGGGAAAGGGAGAAGCAGGCTTCCCGCGGAGCAGGAAGCCCGATGTGGGGCTCGATCCCAGGACCCTGGGATCATGACCTGAGCCGAAGGCAGATGCTTAACAACTGAGCCACCCAGGCGCCCCCAAAATGTTTTTATAAGTTAGCTTTTCTACTGTGGTAGGTTTTCTATGGGAAAAAAGTTATTTCACAAATCATCTACCACCACCACCTCAAATAATTCAAATAATAATTTTCTCACATAACAAAATATTTGACAAAATTTCATTCTCTGTGCTACAATAATTTTATTATGACTCTTCTAACTCCTCAATCTCTTTATTTTTTATTTTTTTAAAGATTTTATTTATTTATTTGAGAGAGAGAGAATGAGAGACAGAGAGCATGAGAGGGAGGAGGGTCAGAGGGAGAAGCAGACTCCCTGCCGAGCAGGGAGCCCGATGCGGGACTCGATCCTGCGACTCCAGGATCATGACCCGAGCCGCTCAACCAACTGAGCCACCCAGGCGCCTCTCTTTATTTTTTTTTTTTTAAGATTTTATTTATTTGACAGAGAGAGATAATGAGAACAGGAACACAAGTAGGAGAGAGAGAAGCAGACTCCCCGCTGAGCAGGGACCCTGGACCCAGGACCCTGGGATCATGACCTGAGCCGTAGGCAGACACTTAACGACTGAGCCACCCAGGTGCCCTCTCCTCAATCTCTTTAGATAGTGACTTTACTAAAGGGTTTTGCTTTTTGTTCTTTGGTTCCCTTGTAGAGTGTAAGGAAGGTGTAGGTGTGTTTAGAAGGTGGGTGGGTAGTCAGAGATGCAGTATAAAAAAGACTGATGAAACTGTCAGAACTGATAATAATGAAAATATTACCTGTTGAGCTCGAGTAACCATCTCCTTGTAGATACTATCCAGGCTGACATTTGATAAAGTGGTTAATGCTGATACAATTGTTTCTGCTTGTGCTTTGTCAAATCCTGTAGACAGCAAATACGTATTTATGTTTTTTTAAAAATGCATATCCTTATCAACATAAACAGCTAAAATAACTTTCCTCATCAAATTTTTCACTTAAAAAAGGGTTACAATTAAAATTTTCAGATTGTTACTCTCCAAAAGCACTCTATAATTTTAATTCCCACTGATCCATTTCCCCATGTCTACATCAACACTGGATATTGCTAGTGGTTTTGAGTTTATAATTGGCATTAAAAACTGAAATGGCATTGCATTATTTATCCTTAAAATTTGCACTTCAGTCAAGTAACTTTACGTATATTTATTTACTATTTATATTTTTCTGTGAGCTATTTTTGGCCTTTGACCATTTTTCTTTAAAATTACTGAAATTTTTTTATTGATTCATATGAACTCTTTGTATATTAAAGCAATAGGTTCATTGTCATGTATGTTCCTAACATTTTTAACTTTGTAAATGATACCCTTTGATATACATTTTTAACTATTTCAGTAGTCCCATCTGTCTTTACTCTTCTGCTTTTGAGTTTTAGGTCTTGCTTCCTCAATCTAAAAGTCTTAAAATATTCTATATTCTAGTATTTTTAATAGCTTTTCTCTTTTTTTTTTTAATTTTATTTGACAGAGAGAGACACAGCGAGAGAGGGAACACAAGTGGGGGAGAGGGAGAAGCAGGCTTCCCACTGAGCAGGGAGCCCAATGTGGGGCTCAATCCCAGGACCCTGGGATTATGACCTGAGCCGAGGGCAGACGCTTAATGACTGAGCCACCCAGGCGCCCTCTCATTTTTTTTTTTTTACATTTGACTTTTAGTCAATCTGTAATTTATTTTTCAGTGAGAGTATCTGTTTTTTTCAAACAGCTAGTGATGTATCTTACCAATTTATTAAATAGCCCTTCCTTTCCCTAATTTGTAATGCCTTCTTTATTGTTTGCTAAAAATGTCTATATCTATCTGAATACCGTTCTATTAATCAACTTTTCTATTCCTGTACTATCACATAATTTAACTTACTGTTTTGATACCTGGTAATCTTTTGTTTGTTCTTTTTCTTTTTTGCTATTCTTAAATGTCCTTGCACTTCCATGTGAACTTTAGTATCAGCCTAGAAACTCGTTTTTCTTTTCTACATAATTGAAATCATACTACACATGTAATTTTATGTTTTTTTTCCACTTAATCTGAGTATTTCTCAGATCAGTAAATATTCCTCAACACCATTTTTATGACTGTAGAATATTCCACTGTATGGATGGCACCTGTATTTAAAGTGACTCTTAATTGTTCATAATAATGATATTGTCTTCACTAGGTAATTTACTGTGACTGTTAATATTCTTCTTTCAAGAGGTACCCGTTTCTCACCATGAGTTTCCAAATCCTGAACCAGTGCATGGGTATCAAAAGTTAATCTCCTTTGTTCTAAAGGAGTTATGTCCACTCGCCTCATATCATATCCTTCCTTGGTTGTGGTGGTGAAGAAGTCTGAAAAAGGAAGACAGGTTTTTTCCTTGTAGTAACCAACACAAGTGTGACACTTTAGCTTCTAAGGCATTACTCCTATCTATTTACCACATGGTTCCAGCTCCTAGGAATTCTATAATTTCAAGGAAGAAAACGGATTCTTCTGAGCGGCCCACTCTTTTATCTGAAAAGTTTCTAACATTATTCTATACCTGGCAAACATTGAATAAATGTTTCCTTTCCTTCTTTCGGATATATTTTATTTGTTAAGAGTCAGTCAAAAGTTGTAATATACATCAAAAGCTTTGGATATCACTGCCACGTCTCTCATTACTGGAACAGTGGAAACCACCCAACTCTCCTAGGGGCTCAGAAGTTTTTCATAGAGCTATGGTAATTATTTATACCTACATCCCCATATAAAGAGGCTTTTTGAATGCCCACTCTCTTACATATCCATTTTATTTCCATCATAGTTCTCAGCTCTAATCTGTAATTGTCTGGTTTGTCTCTCTGAACCAGAATGTAAGCTCCATGGCACTTTGGGTTTTTCATCACTGTACTTTCAGTACCTAGAAAGGTGCTTGGCAGATAACTGGGTCACAATATTTTACTGTTGAATCAATCCATGTATTTGATTTTAAATCCTGGGGTATTTACTACTGTCAACACAAAAGCCCTAGCAAATTTCTCATTTTTGCAATAAATTGTCCCATTTCAATAAATTCCCAATTTTTAACCCAGACACAGTCTGGTCCTTTTCCATATATTACTGATGAATTTCATTAAAAGATTTCATTCTTTTTCAGAATTCTGTCTATATACAACTTCATTACTATTATTATGTACTAAGTAAAATAACAGCTAATTAGTGTAACTATTAATTGAACACTAGGTACTATCCTAGATATTTTTTTATAGAAGATTTTATTTATTTGAAAGAGAAAGAGAGAGAACAAGTGAGCACGAACAGTGGGAGGAGCAGAGGGAGAAGCAGACTCCCCACTGAAGAGGGAGCCTGACACGGGGCTTGATCCCAGGACCCCAGAATCATGACCTGAGCTGAAGGCAGATGCTTAACAGACTGAACCGTCCAGGCACCCCATATACCAGATATTTTACTTACTATGAACGCAAGGTGATATTATCTACATTTTTAGAAAAGAAAACTGAACCTAGAAAAGATAAAGCATTTTACCTAAAGTTACAGAGTCATTGGTAGAATCAGAATTGAGACTCAAGTCTTCTGACTCCAAAGCTCATGCTCTTTCTGTCACCCTAAGCTGTCTCTTTTTTATCCTAATCGCTTAAGTTATCTAGGTACTTAAAAGACATAGCTGCAACCTCAGGTATTACGTTTCTGCTAGGTAGTGTAGGGAAAATGTCATTCTTTCTTATGGATCTTTTCAGCCAACAAATACTTGAGTGCCAGGCCTGGGGGATGATGTGCAAAACCAGACATAACTGATGTCTTTGCTGACTTTGTGGACTAGTAGGCAGGAAAGAGATGTTTAAAAACAGTATCTAAATATAAACTCTAAATTCAGTCATGAAAAAGTAATGGCCAGTCCTTTATATCAATTCATTCAAATACTCAGATAAATTCTGTTTACAGATAATAGGAATCAGATGTAAAGATGGATTAATTTTGCACGCATGCGCGTGCGTGCACACACACACATTAGCGCAGTGGTCAGCAATCTTTTTGGCTCTGAGTGCCATCTAGAAGAGTTAAGCAATGTGCCTTTGTGTATCAATATTAAACCTAAGGAAGAGAAAAGAAAATATTAGAGGAAAAAGAGGGGCAGATTTCAGTAATATTTCCAATAACAATTGCATTAGGAATGATTAGTACCCACAGTTACCCATCCTTCATTAGCAGTTTAGTATTTTATTTGGGGTTTACTGTGTGGAAGGGGAGTAATATTTATATAACACGATACTGCTTTCACACCTATTATTTATCCTTAAAATTCTCATGTTATGGATGAGAAAAACAGGTTCAGAAATGCTAAGTAACTGCCTGAGATCTTATGGTCTCAGAGCTAGGCAGATTAGTGCACAATTCTTCTTCCTTTCACAAAGGGAAGCTTCCCACTGATATGGGAGAGAGACCAAATAAATACCTACCACTGCTGCAAATCTCTGCCGGGTGCAGCTGCAATCTCATGACCCACTGTGCTCAATTTGGCCCTCCGCTCTCAAGGACTCTTAATTCTTTAATTCTCTTAATAATTTAAGAAAGTTCCCCGTTTCTTTGCCTGCTCATATTTATCCTTCAGTGTTCAGTTCAAATGTCTCCTCCACCAGAAGGCCTGCCCAGACTCCTTTAGGTCAGGTTTTTTCTTGTTAGGGTTTTTCACAGGATCCTAGAACATTATTTTGCTGCACCTCACAATTTACACATTTATATGATTGTTAACTGCTTACCTTTCCCACCAGGCCAGGGGTCAGGTCAGCAAACCACAGTCTGCAGGCCACCACCACCTATTTTTCTAAACAGCTTTATTGCAACACCGCCATGCTCATTCACTTATGAATGAAAAACATGTGAATTTAAAAAACAGTATCTAAATATAAACTCTAAGTTCAAATGATAAAAAAGAAAGAGCCAGTCCTTTTTACACCTATGGGTGCTTTCATGCTACCAAGACAAGAATAGTATCAGTGACCGTATGGCTCACAATGGCTACAATATAACCTGGCTCGTTACAGAAAAACTGACGACCACTGTGTAAGATGGTAAGGTCCCTGTGAGATGGAACCATACCTGTTCTTGCTCATCATGGAATCCCCAATGCCTAATACAATTCTGGGTGCTCAGCAGACATTTGCTGATTGACAGGAACTGTGTTAGGTATTGTGGGTACAATGAAGATCAAGGCTGTGGTTTTAACTCATGTGCTATCAAGATATATCCATAAGGGAATACAGAGGAGAAATATTTGGTCCTCGATGAGAATAAAGGGTTAAAAAATGGCTATTTGAATGAAATCTTACCATTTGCAGCAATGTGGATGGAACTAGAGGGTATTATGCTAAGTGAAATAAGTCAATCAGAGAAAGACAATTATCATATGATTTCACTCATATGGAATTTAAGAAACAAAACAGAGAATGATAGGGGAAGGGAAGGAAAAATAAATTAAGATGAAATCAGAGAGGGAGACAAACCATAAGAGACTCTCAGGAAACAAACGGAGGGTTCCTGGAGGGGAGGGGAGTGGGGGAATGGGGTAACTGGGTGATAGGCATTAAGGAGGACACATGATGTAGTGAACACTGGGTTTTATATGCAACTGATGAATCACTGAACTCTACCTCTGAACTACTAATATACCATATGTTAATTAATTGAATTTAAATAAAATAAAAGTTTCTAAAAATGGCTATTTGGAAAAGATACTAGTTAGAGTAAATTTTAAAGAGGAGTTAGCCAGGCAGGAGGAAAAGGATGAGCAAAATTCACAAAGACATGAGCTGCCTTTGCTATTTCTACCTTGGGCTCTATTTACTGTGGGGATAAGAAGAAACAAGAATAGAGAAGGATCTGTGGAATATTCATTCCTTAGGTGTACTCAAATAGTTACGTAATCTTTGACTAAGTCCTCACAATCCTAAGAAGTAGGTGTTTACACCCTCCCTTGCAGTAGGACTTTAGAGAGCACTCTTCTTTGTAGGGAATAAGGAAATGGAAAAGCTTTGATATCCACAGTAGGGCTTCACAAGACTTCAACTCATAAGCACTTTATTTTTTCCTCATAAGCACTTTTTTTTTTTTTAAAGTTTTTATTTATTTATTCATAAGAGACAGAGAGGCAGAGGGAGAAGCAGGCTCCCCGCTAAGCGGGGAGCCCGATGTGGGACTCGATCCCAGGACTCTGGGATCATGACCTGAGCCGAAGGCAGACACTTAACCATCTGAGCCACCCAGGCGCCCCCTCATAAGCACTTTTAAGAATATGTCTTTGCAAGCATATTAATAGGTAGAGGAGATGAAGTAACAAGAATCACTGTTCTTAGCTCAGGGTGGGATAACAGGTCATTAATACCTTAGAAGTTCCCAGAACTTATACAATTGTACAAAACCCCAAACCCTTCCTTTCATACCTATCTTGTACTTTTCTTAAAGTGAGAAACAAACTCCATTTAAAGACTTAACCAGCATCACGAAGCTGTTAAACTGTGTATCTTGGATTAGCACTCTGACTTACCTTGAACCAAGCTGCCTCTTTGCCAGGAAAGGCCAGATTTTACTTTCGATAATACATGTAAAATGCTCTCATTAAATCTAAGCTACAAGTTTTATATTAACTTACTGCTAACTTCAGAGTTGCAATACTTTAGTGACATAGCTGGTTACTAATATATATTTCTATATGCTGATCTGTTGGCAGGCGCTTTGCTAGCTACATCAGAATTACCAGAATTAATATGTAACACAGAGATCCCTGGTCTCCACCCCTGAAGACTGACTCAGTAGTTCTGGAGTAGGGCTTAAAACTACATATTTTTAGAAAGTATCCCCAGGGTTTCTATTCTGCTAAATTTGGGAAGCAGTAATGAACTAGGAATCCAGCACTATTAAAACTTAGACAAATTGCATCACCTTCCCATGCCTTCTATTATTTATCTTTAAAAAGGATATTGGACTAAATAACTGAGATCCTTTCATAGGTCGAGGTCAAGGTTTTTAAGTTCCTTCATTACTGACATTATTAGGCAAGTTTAAACTACACAGTAAGCATTCAATTACTGTTTATTCAGTGATGAGGGACACAATCATATTAGTTGTAAGGGGCCACTTAAGATTTCTCCAAGAAAGTCAGATTCAAGTAGGATAACTCAACAAATATGTTAAGACAACACTGCTTACTTATTATTTTCTAGTACTTCAAAGTTCATTCTCCAAAATTGTTTAATATTGTTTACATATTCAAATGAAAACACATTCTCTCTCAAAATTTACAACGATTAGATTGAAAATGGGGTGATTTCCTAGGGTTCAAAAAATGCTATCTCCTTTTTGTAAAGTCCATCATAATGTACAAGTATACCCAAGACCTAAATATGTAACCAAATACCTTGTGACAGACACTGGGAGCTCAACAGCAGTCTTACAGATGGGCGATCTACAACTGCAATCTTACTGTGTGCGTGAAATGAAGCAATTAGCAGAATGGCACAAAGTACAGTGGGCACTGGGTGGCTCATTTCACATGGCACTGAAGATTTAAGTTGAACAGAGAATGATAAGATTAGTACGAAGTGCCTATTCTGTAGACAACCTTACAGAGTTTTTAAAAAGGGTGAGGGGAGATGGAGTCTGGAATCATCTTTCAGCATCAAGTCTGACGTCCTTCAGGACACAATGCTAACGGGTGCCACCAAGTTCAACACTTGCAGGTTCCAGCATTCACGTTTTGTTTTGCTTTGAATGGCTACTATGTGATTGCAGAGTACTAGAAATTACAGCGAAAATAAAGCCGGCCTGATCTGAAATCTATGCTGTGGTCTTCCAAAAACGTGGGCTCGAGACAGCACTCAAATAACAGCCTAAGTTTGAACAGGCCACGAGAGAAACCAGAACTCTCAGAACACAGATTGCTCCCGACATACCTCCCAGAAGGCGAGGACTGCCAGCCTCATTAGACAGTAAGAAGGAAACAAGGCCTGAGAAAGAAGCCGGCGCGGGGGGCGGGGCACACTCTAGTGATGGAACCAGGTGGAACCCCAGGCTCTCAGAAGAGAAGGCGGTGCTCTACTGGGTCCTCGCCCCCGCGCAACCTGGCGAGACCAGCGGCGGGGTCGTCTGCACCAGGCGGGGCTGGGAGGGGCGTGGCAGTGTCGCCTCGCGCGCGGCCGAGCAGGCAAGAAGCACCGGCAGTCTCCCCAGATAGCACTCAGGCTTCGGTGACAAGCTGACTCATCTCACCTCTTCGCAGGGCCGGCGAAAAATCCCCGCAAAGGCTCGAAACCCAGTGGCTCCCATGGCCCTCAGACCGCAGCAGCCGCCAAACACAACGACTCCACATTTCCGGTTTTCGGGCTGGCGGGAGGAGGCGAAAGGCTGGCTGAATCACACTCAGGCTTTCGGGCAAGGTAGTTCTGGCACCGCGAGGATGCTGGGAAGTGTAGTTTTCCGCCTGCCGCAAAAACAAACCGCCAGCGCAGACTCCAGCCGCGGTCAGGCAAAGACGGGCCTCTTCACAGACGGACCCACAGCTCACGAGCATGGTTCACAGCGGCTTCGCTCCTCCCACCTTCCCTTCCCAACCGGCGCAGGACGTTACCGCCCTAAGAAAGTGGGACCGTGCCTGAGACCTTCCAGTGCCCGTTCCCTAGCAATGAGGTACAGCTCAACAGCAGAGGTTCCCCGGAAAAGCCAGCAACCATTACGCGTGTGGGTGGGAGACGGAGTCACAGCCTACCGCCGGGCAACCTGTAACCTGAAATCCTCGTCAGCTGAGCATTCCGGGGGATCGCGCAGAAACCTGGGAAGTGTAGTCCAACGAGGCCCTTATTCGTGCGGCTTCATGGCCTGCTGCTTCGCCCTCTTGTGTAGAGGAGGACGAACTTCAGTTGGTTTAGTCCCCGTCTGGAGGGAAACAATTTCTGTTTCCAGAGTGGACCTCATTTTCACCACTTACCCCTCTGAGATCTGTTACTTCAGACTTTGTTCCACACAGTAAAAATGCTGAAAATAACAGTACACAGTAGTTGTGGGGTTCAAGTATGCTAATATATTCTTAGTAAATTCTAAAGTGGTCACAGTCGTTAGGTTTTAGAGGCTTAATTATTCTCATAAAGGATGTATGCTTCTCGGCCTTTTGGCTGAGATCAAGGGTATTCTCATAAAGGATGTAAACAGTTACCCCTGGATTTTCCTACCTATTTGTTTTCAAAGCTTTGTAAGCATCAGCTGCATAACAAGACCATTCTAAGCACTGAGGCCCATTAAAGGAACAACACTGGATTCCTGTCGGCAAGGGCTTTAACAGGCAATTTATGGAGAGGAAGTATAAGGCTATTAAAAAACTGAAGGAGGGCGCCTGGGTGGCTCAGTCGGTTAAGCGACTGCCTTCGGCTCAGGTCATGATCCTGGAGTCCCGGGATCGAGTCCCGCATCGGGCTCCCTGCTC